TAACATGACAGGGACTGGGTCCAAACTAGTAAAAATAGTCAGCTCACTCTGGGAGAATTTCAAAAAGAATATAGAAATGCAAGTAGATTAATTAAATGAGCTGAAAACCGTCAAATTGTACGGTATAGATATGGAATTGAAGAAAAGAAGTCAAATATCTAAGTCTAACCCTGGACAACAAACTTTTCTAGAACATACATGAGACGAAGTAGTAAAAAAGGCTACAAAAGTCATATTGGTATGCAGAAATGTTGCAAGTATAGGATGATAACTTATGGAGTTGTAGCCTGAAGTGACACAACTAGTGTAGCTATCAGGAGCGCTAATATTTCAAAAGTACCAAGACTCTCCTGTGTTTGCATCACCGGTGCAATAAAAACCTGTTCTAAAGTCACAATGGAGAAGACCACCGAACCATTTAGTGGTATGCAGATGGTTTCAAAACCATAGAAGAAATGGGAATAGGAGTGTATGGCTCTAAAACCAGGCACTCTAAAAGTTTGGGTAAATATTCGAACATCTTCCAGGTAAAAAACTAGTTTTAGAGCTTTTTTTAACATGAATGGATTATTTTTAACTTAATTGATAAAATAGCTTTTGTTTTATGTTACTAGAGTATCTGTAACTTGTGAAAATTGGGTTATTTTACGCCAATTAGGCCTCACTAGGCCCATTTTGCATTCTTTTAAGATGATAGGCACTTTCTAGCTCGTGAATCACTCTACAAATTTAATGAAGTTGACAACTCTGTAGTTTCTTGTTTTATCCCATCTTTCCTTAAATTTAACAAGAAAATGGTCATTAATTAGGTCTGTTACTACCGATTTTGTCAGGTCAATAAAAGGGCCAGGTCCAAGAAGTATTTAGCTGGTCGCTTCTTTTGGCCAGTGAATCAGCAAGACGGTAACCTTTCGATGTAACGTAACCTTTAATTCATCTTAAGATGGCCACATTATTGATGAATACTTCAAACAAAGCTTTGTGATATGCCATTACTAACCCTAAGTGAATTCGTGGTCTGTTCAGGGTAAGTAGTGATTGTCTGCTATCTGTATAGATGAGCATGTTTCTTCCAGTGTAATTGTTTCTGGTGCTGGCTTTTGCTGTTGTAACAATCCCCGTGGCTCTGTTTGAACTACACTGGCATTATTGTTTACAGCCTATTTTATGTTTAGGCTTAAAAATCTGGAGTATATTATATATCTTGAGCCTTCTACCAAAAGCTGGGTTTTCAGTACCTAGATAACTGCACTATATGTTAGCATAGAACCTATGATGGCCGTGTGAGTCCATGCGACGACTCTGGGGGACAAACCCGAGGTGCGCTCCACGGTTCCGCGGCATTGTTCATAGGTAATGTATGCTCTTTTGACTTTGTTTTTTAAGTGCGTGTTCCATGTTAATTTGCTATTAAAGGCGAGTTACTTCACCTCTGTGCAAAGTTTAGTTTTGTCCAATGTCTTCATGGAAAACGATGTGAAATTAATTGGTCGGTATGTTTTTGGGACACTGTAATTCATCTTTTCAGGTTTGGGTATGAATACTACTTTTGTCGCTTTCCAGTTTTTATAGGGATATACTTCATAACCAACGAGGATCTGAATATACCTACCAGGTGCAGTGTGAGATCTTGTGTTGATAGATACCTAGGTCCGGACAAGCTGGAAATTGTTTATCTAATTTTTTCATTGTTCACAATGTGTTTGGCAGTTTACCAGTCATAGAAAAATATTATTTTCCAGTACCTACACAAAAAATAAAAAAAAAATGGTTAGAGAATGAAAAGAATATTTGTCAACACAGTCTCATGTCTTTTGAATTAAATATTTCCAAAAATATAGAATATAAAGCCTAATCTGTTTAAAAAATTAAACTTAATGGTATTTTCGGTAAAAAAAATTCGGCCATTTTGTTTAAGAAGTTTAAACGTCTGTTCATAATTATGTTTAGTAGGATTTTCTAAATTTGATTTAAATAATTGCATAAATTAAAGAAATAGCCTTAGTATTATTGTCTTTTAATAGACTTGACATTTTTAATGTTTGATTTAGTATTCAATTTAATATGGCTTTATAGACTTTATATTTTAACCGTTTTTTAATTGAGACTATAATAACTTGAACTTTTTACTTATTTTTCGATAACAAATAAAAATTACACCTACAATTTAAAATTCCCTTAGAAATACCAAATTTGATGCATCAAAAATAATATAAAAGCAAAATGTTTATTTTCCCATTTTTCTGTTTTTATAAATTAAGTTCATAAATCAATAAACATGCTTCTTCGTTTTACATTAAAATGCTTAAAATTTTGTAGTTATTAATAAAAAACTGTAATTTTTGATCTCGTTAACAGTGCCGAATCTAATCAAGTTTATAACCTAAAAGCTAAATCTTAATTGACGTCTAATTTCAAATTCCTACTTTTATACTCTATCAGTTTTGTTAAAAGCAAATTCAACCGTTTTTAAACTCAATTTTCTTCAATATTTCCATTTTTGAGATGTGTCACTATTGCCGCCGGTAAACGATATGTATGTATCGTTTGCCATTTCAAAATATTGATTTCTTGAAATATGTGATGCATTTTGTCTCCATTGTAATGGACACCAGATCTGGAATGGCTAATGGATGAAAATCTAAATTCATTCAAAATTTTATATACCTGAAATAATGACAAATCGAATCAATAATTTCTTTTTCTTCCTTTTTTTCGTCATAATTCAACTCTCTGATTTAATGACAATAAAGACAAATTGAATTTAACTAATTTTACCATACCAGAATGTTTTTGGTTAAATAAAATAAAAAAAGCTGCGCTATTGACGTTTATTAATAAATGTCGGGGCTCTACAAGCAAGCATTAAATGTTAATTAAATTAATTAGGCATTAATTAGTGAAATATTAGCGTCCAGTTTGGTCGATTCATGTTCATTTACAGCCTGTCATTAAATCTAATGAAACCATCTATTATTGGAAGTATTTAACGACACCTTTGACTATATAATGAATATTCTGATCAGTATCGTCCAATATGTAATTAATGAAATCAGTGATGTAGCCAGCAGGAGTCAAAAAGGGTTTCTTATAGGATTTTTAAATTTTAAACGACCGTTGACATTGATTGAACCACAAGCCAAGCACTGTCTAGAGAATAGAAAATAAATTGTTAATATCAACGGCATTTTCAGTGATGTCAAAGTTATTAAATGAGGTGTTCCGCAGAGAACAGTTCTGGGCTAATAGTTATTTAATATATGGATTATTGTCGAAAATTCGTCAAAAAAGGTGAAAATAAAAAAAAATTGAAGTATTTTTTTGTAATCAAAAACATTTATCTGCATAATTAAAACAAAACCAGTTGCTTGGGCGAGTTCAATAAATAGGCAATAATGCTTTTTTTCCTAATTTTTAAATTACAGGTCCACGGAAATGATACAACCGTCCACAAATTTGAATTGAATTTCAAAAAGGCCTTAAAATACTGTTGCTTTTAATTATTTTAGTACAAACAGTCTTCGGTTTTAATAATTATGTTAAAACATAGTTGTGAAAACAGAAATTTAGGAATTAAATCTTATAATTATACATTTTTGACTATTTTCCACTGAAGTGACAAAGTTATTCCATGAAAGTGATAATTAAGGAGTACAGAATTGCAAAAAAATAATTACGATATTTGCAGAAGTGAAGAAAATATTACTACTCAAAACTAATTTTGAACGTCAAAAATTTTATTCTCTTGAAATATGTATTGATCCTTTTTGTTCACATCGGCTGACTAAGAATTTTGAGAAAATATGCCCTGTCCTCTTTTTGTGGATACACGAAGTTGTTACCAGACTGTTTTAAAAATCTTAGCTGAAAAATCATCTTCTATGGACAGAACAATAGCTAGATAGTTTCGTTCGCATTTCACCCCAAAAACTTTTGCAACGACATAGTCATTTACTTTTACACATCTGGACAAGCAGGTGGGTAATACTTCATTGATTTTATTTCACGACTCGTCAATGGAAGATGGTATATACATCAAACACTAGAAGTTTTGACTGCAACGTAGTAGGCTCAAAATAAGTTAGGAAAATATCATCAAAGTGAAATCAATGAGAACTTGAGCAAAGTGCTATGTGTGGATATGTGTGTGAGGCTTTTATTACATAAAAAAACCACACATAAACATATATATTCAATAAAAAAAGGATACTTGCATCATTATTATCGATATTAATTATACCAATGTTTTAATGAATACAATTTTCTCCTGAACTGCATTTAAAACAAGTTAGTCTTCTGGCATACAGGATAGTGGGGTTTGTTTTTGACCAGCTAAGCTGATGTATTGCTATGGTACTTCTAAAAGGTTTAGGAGTTACGTTATCTAAAATTTTATCTATTTTAGAGAATTCACCATCATCAATGGCAATAATTTCAATTCCAGGACAGTTTAGCATCAGCTCTTCAATTGACACCTCAAAAGTTGGCAGATATTTTCGCCTTGCAAACAAAGAGTAGTGCGCTCTCTGGCGCACCCTTTCCTTGACCACATGCGCTTTAATTCCAGTACAAAGTCTGGACACTCAATTGGAGCACTAAATATAGAATGGCAAGTTACAACAAATTTTTTTTTTGTATACTGTCTGGACGGTCAATCACTTACAAAATAAATTGTACGTAAATGGGGTATTAATTCTTTAGTTGTTTTTAGTATTGGTGTTAAGTGGGCACTAATCACTACTGGGTCGTGTCTTAAATTTTTCGAGAACGTTCCAAAACAAATTGTACCACCTTTGTGATACATGACCACGTTATGTATTGATATCTGCTGCTTAGATACGCCAGAGTGGGCAGATTGGATTTCTTCGCTGTACTTACAAGTATAGTTTTCCAAAAAATTCATGTGAATGATGGCTTCGTCCATTTTAAGATTTCCTGTCTAAAAAGTATCCGACCTTTGACAAGAAAAAATATTTCGAATACCTGACGGAGTTCGGACCCTAATCCCCTTCAAAGTAGGCCCCTTGTGCTTCCACACACTTATCCCACCGATCCTTCCACTGCTGGAAACACCTCAGGAAGTCTTCTTTTGGAATGGTGTTCAGCTCCGTCGTCGCGTTCCGCATTATCTCTTCTGTACTCCCAAAACAAGATCCTTTTAGTGGCGTCTTCAATTTTGGAAACAACCAGAAGTCGCAAGGAGCCAGGTCTGCAGAGTAGGGAGGTTGACGAATGATTGTAATTCCATGTTTGTTTAAGAAAGTGTTGATCAATTGGGATGAATATGCAAGGGCTTTGTCATGATGCAAGTGCCAGTTGTTCGCCGTCCACATGTCTAGTCTTTTGCGCCAAACTGTGTCAAGGAGTCGACGGAGAACATCCTAATAGTACTACTTTGTCACTGTTTGTCATTCTGGTGCGTATTTGTGATGCACAATTCCACGGACACCAAAGAAAACAGTCAGCATCACTTTGATTTTGCTTCGCACCTGACGCGCTTCCTTCGGCCTTGTAGAATCGGGATGCTTCCATTGCGACGGCTGTCATTTTGTTTCTGGGTCGTATCCATGACTCATTTCAAGTTATCACGGTGTTCAGAAACCCAGGATCAGTGTTGGCGGTGTCCAGAAGGCCTTGTGCAATGTCAAAACGAAGATCTTTTTGTTCAAGCGACAACAAATTGGGTACAAATTTCGCAGCCACCCGGTACATGTTCAAATCTTCACGCAAAATTGCATGTACAGAATCTGCAATCTCCAGCACTGTCAAACGACGATCTGCCATTATCGAATTTCGCACCCTCTCAGCATTAGCTGCACACCGAGCAGTTTGGGGCCTGCCACAACTCTGCTCACTCTTCGCTGATGTGCGGCCATCTTTGAATCGGTTGAACCACTCCTTAATTTGTATTACATCCATCGCAACTTCTCCAAACACCTCCTGAATCTTACGAATTGTTTGGCTTTAAAAATCACCAAGCTTTTGACAGAATTTGATGCAGTATCTTTGCTTAATTCGATCAGTCATCTTGCGAGAAAACTAAATCCGACGAACATTAAGAACAGCACCTTACTTGGCGACCACCAACCAGCGACTTGCACAAGCAAGCGGACGCGGTGAAAAACTTCGAGCATGCGCATTATGGTTTCTCCTTCCACCGTGCACAGTGGCGCCGTCTTAGAATCACTACTTTGCGCGGGGAAAATTAAGGTCGGATACTTTTTAGACAGGCCTCGTATTTATTTCCTTATACTGGGCATAACGTTGGTATAATGTTACATAAAATGTGGCATATTTTTGTTAAGCTATAACACAGTCTCATATTTTCAAAAAAATGTATTTTCTTTCACAGTCTTTAGAAACAGATTTTCTTTAACTATAATGTTTTTTTTTTGTAACCCAGTTTTCATATGACATTTTTTCTTGACATTTAAAAGTATTACAAACTATTGTTTTATTTTTACATGATTCACATTTTCTTTTCAGTCTTCATTTAGCTGCCCTGCGCAACACATGGATTTCAAAATTTCTTCAAGACTATTTTCGTTAACTTGCAAAATGTACAGTAGCTCATTCCTTTATAGGTGCTATTTTTAATAAACTTGGAATAAAGATTTTTTAACGAGTTGTTTATGTACCTTATAGTCTTGTGTGTTGTAATTTTTTTTTTGCCAGCTGTTAAATGACTAGCATCATCTTTTTCTAAAAATTTTCTTACTGTATCTTTTGCTCCTATGATCTTCAAATTTTGTTGTTTCTAATTGGAATAATGCAAGTCTTATTGAAAATAGAAAACTTAACCGGTCATAATATTTACATTTAATAATCAACGGACTTTTTAAAACGATTGAAAATATTTTCTTTCGTTCCTTCGAAGAATTTTGTTGTAGAAAGTTCTTTTATATTTATTGTGTTATTACCTCACCAAACAATAGATTTCTTTTCACTTGAGGGTTAACAGATTGGTTCTCTAAAATGGACTCAACATTTTTCTCACGTGTAGTCATTAGATGTCGTTTAAGCTTTTTTTTTCAGACGGGTGCACTTACTCTTGTATCTTTTTATTTGTTCGTTACTTTTTTTAAATTTTCTCTCTCATCTCCACTTCTCACGATTTTTTAAATTATTTTCCTTCCTCAAGCAATTCTGCTTGAAGAGGGGATCTGCACATTATTATGATGCAATAGCTGCAACTCAACATCAAGATCAGGAGTCGGTGGTGGTGAAATGTCCTTAATTAACTTAGTAAGCTTTTCTTTCTCTTTTTTGGCTAATCTGTGTTGCTTTAATCTTTCCATGTTTTTTCTTAAATCTTTCACTTCGCACCGACTTAAATCTTTAATTCCAGGTACTAAACCCACTTCGTTTTTTGTATCTTTTTCTGTCCTTTTTCTTTACTTCTTTGTGCTTTACGGGATCACTTTTTTATTTTTTCCTAGCTCTTCTTATACTCAACTTCATGTGTTCTTCAATGTTTCGTCTGCTTCTTTGCCTTTCTTGCACGTCTTTTTATCGTTTGCCTTGGGTATTATTCTCAGTCTCAAATAAGTTTTGCATACAACAAACTACAAAGATTATTCCCTGGACACTGATCACTTCCATGGACACAGACAGTCCACAGAAGTGATGTCCACGGAAGTGACAGAATATGCAAAATTATGCTTTAGAAAGTAAGGTTATGATCTGTTTGCGAAAAATATCTCCTATGTTATTAAAATAATGGTACCAAATCAGAAATATAAATAATTTTACTATTTCCTACTTGTTTTTTCCAGGCCACAGAAGTGTTCTGATGATCTTGCCACATCTGTATCTTAACAACCTTTTTTCAATAGCAAAATAACAGTTAAATATAACGCGCCGACGCTTGCTCAGCAACTAAACCGCATGGGTAAAAATATCATTACCTCTTTTAGCAATTCTAGCGCCATCTATTATTAGAACACCGAATTTTTTTTTAGGTCCACGGAAATTTATTTACACTTAGGTAAGGGTTCCAAATATAAAGGTACTATTTAAAAATATTTAATTGTTTGTGAATCTACTAGAAAATCTAGTTCATAAAAAAGCACTCATTAAATTGTTATTTAGGGTGCATTAACATAGAATTAAACGGTAACGACCACGGAAGTGACTTTTTAACACTTTAATTTTAATTTTGTTCAAATTCGAGCATATTTTTATTGAAATAAAATATACGATTAACAAGCACTTTTGTAGTTTTGTAATTTAAAAGTCATTTCCCATTTTACATTAGGTATCAGTTGTTTGAATGTTTTTTTAAGAATAACCCATGTATATAAAATAGTATAAAGATGTAAATTAATATAAATAAAAAATTACACAGTTTAGTGAAAATTAATAAAATTATTTTTCTACTAGTTGGGAATTAAAAACACATTTAAAATCAGAAAAATACTCTAATTTTATTTTATTCAAACTAAGTGAACCGTAATTTTATATATTTTCCATAGAAAAAATTAGGTACGCCTTTGACCAAAGAGTTATTTTATGTTGAAGTTCGTTTTCATCATCAAATAATTTTGATCGACAATTTAAACGATGTATGTACTTAAAACAAATACGTTTTAAACGATTTTATCTCTTATTAACATTCGAAATACATATCCATAGATGAATGAAATAGATAATGTTTTTATTAAAATGTAATTATTTGTTGATTGTTTACAGGCACCGAAATCGAACGTATTGAAAAACCTGCACTTTTTTAATTAAATCAACAATTTTTGTGAATAATTGGAAAATGAACGTCAACGATTCAAATAAAATATAGTAGGGGATCGTTTTAGTTATTTATACAGGGTGTATCAAAAAACCATGTGCTTTTGCTTGTGAGATAATTCCTTACTCAAAAATAAGACAAATAGTTCCCATCCACATAGATTTGTGAAAAATGCAATTTCACATCGAATTATTTATTTACAACATTTTAAAGTAAAAATTATATAAAAAAAAATAACTTAAACAAAAAAGATCCATTTTTTTGCGTATAATTGCTTTCTGAGTGAAGCGAGATTCATGTAACGAATTCGATTTCAGATCAAATTATTTATTTATATTTTGGTTATGTAAAAACTATAAAAAAAAGAATTAATTTAAAAAGTAAACAATCAATTTTTTAAATTTTTTTGCTTTCTGAGTAGAGATAGGTGTAGGCGTTGCTTCATATTAAAAAAGTAGATTAAATTTACTGGGTGGGTTATAAAAGTTTTTTGCATAAAAATGGACTAGCTGAAATATTGTTCTCTTCTTAGGACATAATCAATAGTCTATTACTTCAAGTCCTAAATATATCGTTTAGGTAATAAAAAAGGTAAAAAAAAACACATAATAGGGACCAATAAAATTGTTTTTCTACACCCGTATTATAATAATGTACTCTGTTTCATAATGATACCCATTATGATACAGAGTTATTTTTGTTAATGACATCTGTCATTGTATCAACTCTAAGAAACTTTTGTTTGTAGACGATATGAAAATTTATAGAGAAATAGAGGCTACCTCAGATTGCATTGCTCTTCAAAACGACCTTGTCAATTTACATAACTAGTGTATCGTAAATAAACTATTTTTGAATACTAACAAATGCAAAGTCCTGTCCTTTTCCAGGAAAGTAAACACTGTCTTATATGATTATCAATAAGATAATCTTGTTAGTCCTTGGATATATAATTACAGAGATTTAGGTATCTTATTTGACAGCAAACTGACTTTTCTGAAACACATTGAAAACACTGTACAAAGTGCAACAAAAATCTTAGGTTTTGTTATTAGAAACTGTAAAAAGTTTAAATCTTTAGAAGCTATCTTATCTGTTTATTTTTTACTAGTTCGTAGCAAACTGAAGTATTGCAGTTGTGTTTGGAATAGTAATCGTTTAAAGTGCATTAGAATCTGTCCAAAGAATTTTTTTTAAATTTATTTACTTTAAAAAACATGACCGTTGTCCTATTCGTCACTATTACCATAATTTATTGTTAGAAAAATTCAGTTTTTTTGGTCTGAGAAAAAGAAGAGAAATAGCAGATTTTCATCTATAAATTAATTAATAATTCTATAGATTTATCTTCTCTGCTGTCTCAATTTAATTTTCATATCCCACGTATTACATCAAGGTCAAATATAACATTTCATATTCAAAGTACCAAATTCACAACATCACTTTCACATTCCTTTAACTACAATGTGTAGAAGTGTCAATCAGTATTCTGTTAATATATTTTTTCTAAAATTTTACCAATTTAGAGAGCAATGTTACAGATTGGTATCAAATTAAGTAATTAGAATGTAATTTAGTTAAGTAAGAATTCTCAAAGTTTGTATTTTTAAATATATTATATACTCCTGTAATTGGGCTAATAAAGCCTGTTAGATGTATTACTTAATAAATAAATAAATAAATAACGATACAGATTTTTAATCAATAGAAACCCATAATTTTTCAATCAAGCATGCTGTGCATTTGACGTTTGTCCTAGGTTCCTATGTAATTGTTTTAGTTGTCAAAATCAGTACCTTAAAGTTTCGTAGATAGCTAAACTTCGATAATTAATTATATTATCAGAATGTCTGATATCAGCGATATAGAAGACTTACCATCGACTCCTCCGCACATATCAAAGAAAGCAGAAAAATCTATGGTAATACCAATTCACCAAAAAATACATGTTAATTCTGACTGATCTGGTTAGGAGTAATAAATTACAATACATAATATACATGTTATTATATTTTTTTGTTCTACTTACCCATGACTTTGTAAAGGAATTTAAATTTCATCTTCAGCTTCTGCTTGATAAAAGTGGCAACATTTTTTATAATCTGCCTACCTTTTCTTTTTAAACTAACAAGT